CTCCTTCCAAGTTTTCCCTTACTGCAGGAACACAATTGCTGGCCTATGGAATGATTCTGGAAAGAATTCCAAGGGAGAAGCTGTGGGCCTGCAGCTCTAGGGCAGAACACTGTGGTCAGGCACCAGCTGGGACTTTTGCACAGAGCTCTGATCAAAAACTCGTCAGAGCCCCCCAGACATTACTCATAAAAAGGAACTCCATCGCTGATATTAAGCCAGGAGAAGTCCATTTAAGAGCACTTATGTCCAGCCTCTCTCCAGCTCCTTGATACTGCAAGTGCAGCTCAAGTTTCCTATAGCTACTGTTCCTCCATCCTCCCCAGCCCCTTCCCTTCTCCTGCCATCCCAAAAGCCAGGTATGAACCCAGGGGGACACTGTCCTAGGATAAAGATAAAACCTGACACAGCTTCCAGGCAGGTCTAATCCTCCCAAAGACTCCCAAACTACAGCTCTACTCACCAGGACTGGAAGAAGAGCTGGTCTACCAAGACAAGGAACAGGTCTTGTGAATCCCAAATCCCCACAATATTTCCAAGAGCAGGAAAACTCCAACGTGGACCTCTGACACCAACAGCTCTCCAAAACCACTACAGGAGCTACCAGAGCAACTAATGTTTGCTTTGATGATTTTACTCTCAGAGAGAAACAGATCAACTAATAAGTGAAATTATATTAACTTCTCAGTGAACAGTTTTCCTTGGAATTGCCTAAGTTTCTTCTTTAATTCATTTTGAAAGAAAACAAAACCTGCAGGGATATCTAAGGAAAAGCAGAGGGACACGGAATATCACAGCTATAACATTTCTCTTCCCACTCATCTTCAGCCACACAAAAAAATAAAGACTATTCAAGTCCAACACAACCACTTTTGGAGCATTTCTACTGCATGACAGAGCTCTGGGCCCTGTTACATAATAAAAGCATTTCTAGGCTTTCTAACACTCCCTCGCTGTCCTCTCCTGAAGAGGCCTAAGCTTGCTAAGACCCACACAATTAGAGCTACTCAAGTGGATTATATTCACGTGAATGTTGTTTTGGTGGTGCTGTTTTAAGGAGGAAACTAAAAACTGATTAGAAAACAAAATATTTTTCTCAGAGTTAGGAAGCTACTTCAGCCTGTTGATAACCTGCAAGGGGCAGGAGCTGGAAATCTGGGTGTCTGAGGCAGAAAATGTTTTCCTTCCACGGAGATTTTTTTTTTCCTGAGTGGACAGAGATTGCCCTGCAGAGGGAAGTGTCTATTCCTAGGGATAGCAGAGCATGAATTACAGCTGGAAAAAGAGGCTCTTTTTTTCCATTCTGATTGTTTCAGCTAAGCCTTGGCAATCCTGTGAGGGTGAGAGCAGTGCTGACGATCAGCTCTTGGGACTGCACCAGCAGCATGTTGGTTTGCCAACAAATCCCTGGTTAGTCCATTATTACACTGCTCTGCCTACAGGGATTCCCATAGCTGCACCTAAATATCTTCTGGTTTCCTGCTGTATCCATGTTTTTCACAGCTGGCTTGCAGCAGATGAAGTGTGTGCCCTCTTGCTAAGGGGATTTGAGCTTGATCAGCTGACCCAAAGTATTATTTTGCCTTCAAGGAACAGCAGCACAAGCCCCATTAGAGCTTGTTCCCTGTGCCTGTGACACACAGCACAGCTGTGTCCAGAGAGGGACAACACACCAGCCCCCTCACAACCAGTGTTCCTCCTTAGCAGAAAATGTGTGTCACTTCTGGAAAGTTGGTTCACCAGCTCCTGCAAAGCCCCTTCCACTGGCTGTGTGGTCAGTGCAGGGCAAACCCCGGCCCAAGGTTATGCAATCTGATACCAACCTGTGTCCTGGGCAGCAGCTGATGCCAGAAATATGGATAAAATGGATACAGGAACAGATAATGGCAATATACCCTGAAATCTGATTTATCCATCAACTTTATTATCACAGAATCATTTAGGTGGGAAAAGATCTCCAAGTCCCCCCTGTGCCTGACCCCCACCTTGTCCCCCAGCCCAGAGCACTGAGTGCCACATCCAGTCCTTCCTTGGACACCTCCAGGGATGGGGACTCCCCCACCTCCCTGGGCAGCCCCTGCCAAAGCCTGACCACCCTTTCCAGGAAGAAATTCTTCCTGATGTTCAACCTGAACCTCCTCTGGCACAACTTGAGACCATTTCCTCTCCTCCTGTCCCTTGTTCCCTGGGAGCAGAGCCTGACCCCCCCCCGGTTTTCCCTTCTTTTCGGGGGTTTGCGGGGCCGGAGGTTCCTTCTTGGGCTTCTTTTTTTCCGGGTTGGGCCCCCCCAGCTCCCTCAGCCCCCCCTCATATGACTCTCTATACTTTTCCCCAACTTTGTTGCCCCTCTCTTAATAATTTATTATTAATAGTAAAGTAAGAGACCAACTGGCAAGAGAGCTGTGGCTCCTGGTAGGTGAGCACAGCAAGAACACCCAGGGATCCAGATTTCAGAGCCTCAGTTGACCTCAAAACTGCCACATATTCAGGGGGCTGCTGCTGTCAAAAATGTTTTTATGTCCCTGTAAGATCAGAGGGATGAACTTTCAGATGTAGGCCTGTCAACAGTGATCCTTCCCAGTTCACAGATAAGCCTCTACTTTTCCTATACAAAAATGGATCTTGAGATCACCTAAAAATAGTACACAAAGCTTTGTTTAAGGATAAATGCCACTGCTGCCCATGGCAGGCACCACAGCAAGGAAGAGTATTCTACAATCTCCCTGAGTTAATATCTTGAGAAGGGTTTACCTTCCTCACAGGACACCAACAGAGCAGTCCAGGCAGCACATGACCCAAAACTTCCTTCCAGAGGACAGGAAGAAAGAGCTCCAAGGACATTGCCCTGACTTGCTCTAGACCCCAACAGAGCAGCTTGGAAACTCGATCTGCTCTCAGGCTTTTCAGGTGAAAAAGGAGTTGAGAAACATAAGCAAGGGCTCCCACACTGCCACTGAGGAGTGAACTGCAGGAAAACTGGGAACATTCTGTTAAAAAAATAGAACTTAAAAAAAAAAAAGCACCCAAAACTGCCTCGTGCTTCTTTAAAAGCTACATCAAAGTGTTTTATATTTAGATCATCTGCAAACAAAAAACTGCTTCAAGGTAAAAGTACAGAGACACGTAATTTATAAAGTCCAAAATCATTCAGGGAGTTGTTATTCTCCCTCCCTTAGTCTAAGTGAATCATAAAATGGTCTGGGTTGGAAGGGACATTAAAGACCATCTTATTCCACCCCCTGCCACAGGCAGGGACACCTTCCACTAGCCCAGGTTGCTCCAAGCCCTGTCCAACTTGGTCTTGGACACTTCCAGGGATGGGGCAGCCACAGCTTCTCTGGGCAACCTGTGCCAGGGCCTCCCCACCTTCACAAGGAAGAGTTTTTTTCCTAATATCTAATCTAAACCTGCTCTCCATCAGTGTGAATCCAATCCCCTTAGTCCTGTCACCCCATGCCATTATAAAAAGTGATTTAAAAGTGTCTTCCTACAGGATTTATGAAGTGCTGGGAGCTCTGTGTATCCAAGCCTCCAGTCTTTCAAGGCAGTACAGGGATACCAAAATTTTTCAAGTAAAACAAAACAAAACCCCAGCAACCAAAAACCCACCCCAAACTTGGGCAATTCGAGGAGGAGGAGGAGGAGGATGCAAATAGCAGAAGTTTCCTTGATTACTGCAAAAGCTTAGTTATTTGCTTCAGCAAATTCATAAAAGCCCCAAATTAAAAGAGCAGCACTGAATTTCTGAAGCAAATCAAAGCCCAGATTGGAGGCATCATGCTACAGATACACAAGTGCACAGGGTTGGTACAGGTTTATCTGACTGAAACTGCAGAACATGAAATAAAGAGCACAGAAGTGGACAGGTAAGTCAGGGAGGCAATATTTGTCCAAGTGCTGTACGAAATCCACTCCTAAAACAGTCCCACAGAAATAACTCCCTTCAAAAGAGTCAATACAGGTTTATATCTGTGCAAATTATTTACTTTTTCTCAGGGATTAACCAAACTCGTAGCTGAGCAAGCAGCACAATAAGGACAAAAGAGCTGTGAGAAATCATCTCCTGCTCTTTTACCCATCTCTGCTACAGAACGAGGCACATTCACGATGAACAAACCTTCCCTCAGTAATTCCTCAGAATCCTTGTTAACCAAAGAAAATACTGTTGTCTGCACTAGTAAATAAATTTAAAGGCGTCCCAATTTTTATTCCGTTTGAACTCTTTTAAGCTAGTAAGCTATACAGTACAGGTTTTGTGGCTACAATAGTTTAGCTCAACAAATCACCACCCAAACGCAAGTTCTTTATCCCACATTTCAGCTTCCAAGCCTTTGCGCCATGTCGCATTTAATCTGCAAAAATAAACCACAATTATTCTCCATTAAAAAAAAAAAAACAGGAAAAAAAATAGTCCATCATCCGTGAGTAGGTTCTTAAAAAAAAAAAAAAAAAGAAAAAAAAGAAAAAATAAGACCCAGCATCAGCACGGGGCAGGCACAGGCCTGGGCTGAGGAGCCGATCCCATTTCTCGGCATTATCAGCTGGGAAAGACGACAAACACGGAACCCAGACCCGGAGCAGGAAAAACCACGGGGCCCAAAAGGATTTTCTTGAACCCCCCAACACCACGAGGTCGCCTTTGTGCAGGAAATACCCCTTAATTTCCACGCCGCATTGTTCCGGCCGAGGAGCAGAGCGGGCCGGGAACGGCTCTTTAACAGCCCGGAAAACGCCCGTCCTGCGAGGATGGCAGGACGGCGGAGGAAGGCAGGGACAGGGGCACATCCCTGCGGCGGGGACGCCCCTCCAGCGCGGCGGCGAGGCCGGGAGGGCTCTGGGGAGCCCCGGCACGGCCGAGCGGGCCCCGCCAGGCCAGGCGGGCTCTTGGCGGCCCCGCAGAGCCCCGAGAGCGCCGTGCTCGGCCGGGAGCTGCCGCACCCCCAGCCCCGCACCCCCCACACACACCCCGCACCCCCTCACACCCCCCCCCGGGCCGCCCTTACCTGCGCCCCGCGGGTGAGCCCGCGGCCGCTGAGCTGCCCCCGCCGCAGCTGCGACACGATGTTGGTGGTCGCGGCTCGGGCCCCGCGGGCGCCGGGGCCGCCCCTCGCGATGGCCGCCATGGCCCGGCTGGGACCCGATCCGAGACAAACAACAAGCGCCGCCTCGGCCCCCGCGGGCGGTGTGTGTGTGTTAAACGAGCGGCCGCGGGGGGGATGCCGGGAAATGGAGTCCCGGGCGTGTGAGGGGACATGGCGGGGCCGCGTGGGGAGGGCAGGGGCGACGGCACGGCCCGAGCCTGGACCTGCGCCGCCGTCACTCGTGCTGCTCCTCACGGGAGCTGCTCCCTCCACGCCACGCTCTATTGCCATTAAAATACCTCTATTCCCACTAAAACGCCTTTATTCCCGCTAAGATACCTTCCCCCCCCCCGGTTAACTTTATGCCCGCTAAAATATCTTTATTCGCGCTAAAATGCCTTTGTTCCTGCTAAAATACCTTTATTCCCCTGAAAATGCATTTATTCCCACTAAAACGCCTTCATTTCTACTAAGATACCTTTTTTCCCCCCTAAGATAACTTTATTCCCACTAAAATATCTTTATTCGCGCTAAAATGCCTTTGTTCCTGCTAAAATACCTTTATTCCCCTGAAAATGCATTTATTCCCACTAAAACGCCTTCATTTCTACTAAGATACCTTTTTTCCCCCCTAAGATAACTTTATTCCCACTAAAATACCTTTCCCCCCCCCAAGATAACTTTATTCCCGCTAA